TTTTACGTTTCATTTAATCTTAATTAATCTCCACTAAATCTAGATAACCACATGTGACTAGTGGCCACCTTGTTGTATAATGCAGATTTAGAGTGTGGAAAGCCAGCTGGAAGCTATTGAGTAGTCCAGATAAAGAGATGAGGGTGTTACCAAAGGGAAAGGGACTGGGAAGGATGGGTGGGAAGGGAGGGATAAGGGGAAAAAGAAAAGGGGCAATACTATTAGTAGACATAATGTACGGGGGGGCCACAGGGAGGGTTGTACAACAGAGAAGACAAGTAGTGATTCTATAGCATCTTACTATGCTGATGGACAGTGACTGTAATGGGGTATGTGGGGGGGACTTGGTGATGGGGGGAGTCTAGTAAACATAATGTTCCTCATGTAATTGTAGATTAGTGATACCAAAATAAAAAAATAAAAAAATAGATGAGGGTGGAACACTCTGCCAGGTTAACTTAAAATAATTTTTTTTAACTTAAGTATCATTGATATACAATCTTATGATGCTTTCACATACACAACATAGTCAACATTTACCCATATTATCAAGACCTTACCCCCTCCATTGCGGTCACTGTCTATCAGCATAGTAAGATGTTATAGTCATTAATTGTGTTCTCTATCCTGTACTACCGTCCCAGTGACCTACCTATATTGTGATTGTGAATTATAGTGCCCCTTAATCCCCTTCTCCCTCCCCACCCACCCTCCCCACTTTGGTAACCACTAGTCCCTTCTCAGTGTCTATGAGTCAACTGCTTTTTTGTTCCATTTTCCTTTGTGTTCATACTCCATAAATGAATGAAATCATTTGGTACTTGTCTTTGTCCACCTGAGTTATTTCACTGAGTATAATATCCTCTAGATCCATCCATGTTGTTGCAAATGGCAGGATTTCTTTTCTTTTTATGGATGAATAATATTCCCTTGTGTATGTGTACCACATATTCTTTATCCATTCACCTATTGATGGACACTTAGGTTGCTTCCATATCTTGGCTATTATAAATAGTGCAGGACACAGGCAGCGGAGAAGGGCAAGGCATCCAGCAAGCAGGAAAGGACTTTCTTCTCCCAGCTGACATACCTGCAACCTGCTTACAGCCACTGCTATCACCATGAAAAGACAAAAAAATTTAGTCCAGTCTAAAATAGTCCAGACAACCCCTGAGAGAGGATCTGCAGAGACAGACCTAACCAGTCTCCCTGAAAAAGAATTCAAAATAAAAATCATAAACATGCTGACAGAGCTGCAGAGAAATATACATGAGCTAAGGGACGACGTCTGGAGGGAGATTACAGAAATGAAACAATCTCTGGAAGGATTTATAAGCAGAATGGATAAGATGCAAGAGGCCATTGATGGAATAGAAACCAGAGAACAGGAATGCATAGAAGCTGATGCAGAGAGAGATAAAAGGATCTCCAGGAATGAAACAATATTAAGAGAACTGTGTGACCAATCCAAAAGGAACAATATCTGCATTATAGGAGTACCAGAAGAAGAACAGAGAGAAAAAGGGATAGAAAGTGTCTTTGAAAGAAATAATTGCTGAGAACTTCCCCAAACTGAGGGAGAAATAGTTGCTCAGACTATGGAAGCACACAGAACTCCCAACAGAAGGGACCCAAAGAGGACAACACCAAGACACATAATAATTAAAATGGCAAAGATCAAGGACAAGGACAGAGTATTAAAGGCAGCCAGAGAGAGAAAAAATGTCACCTACAAAGGAAAACCCATCAGGCTATCATCAGACTTCTCAACAGAAACCTTACAGGCCAGAAGAGAATGGCATGATATATTTAATGCAATGAAACAGAACCAAGGATACTGTATCCAGCACGATTATCATTTAAATATGAAGGAGGGATTAAACAATTCCCAGACAAGCAAAAGTTGAGGGAATTTGCATCCCCCAAACCACCTCTACAGGGTATTTTAGAGGGACTGCTCTAGATGTAAATAGTGCAGCAATAAACATAGGGGTGCATATGTCTTTTTGAATCAGGGATCTTGTTTTCTTCAGGTAAATTCCTAGGAGTGGAATTACTGGGTCAAATGGTATTTCTATTTTCAGTTTTTTGAGGAACCTCCAGATTGCTTTCTACAATGGTTGCACCAATTTACATTCCCACCAACAGTGTAGGAGGGTTCCCTTTTCTTGCTTCCTTGCCAGCATTTGTTGTTTCTTGTCTTTTGAATGTTGGCTCATCCTAACTGGTGTGAGGTGATATCTTATTGTGGTTTTAATTTGCATTTCCCTGATGATTAGCCATGTGGAGCATCTTTTCATGTGCCTGTTGGCCATCTGTATTTCTTCTCTGGAGAAGTGTCTGTTCAGATCCTCTGCCCATTTTTCAATCAGGTTATTTGTGTTGTGGGTGTTGAGTCATATGAGCTCTTTTGTTAACTGCTTATCATATAAATCATTGATGAATATATTCTCCCATACTGTAGGATGCCTTTTTGTTCTGCTGATGGTGTCTTTTGCTGTACAGAAGCTTTTTAGTTTGATGTTACCCCACTTGTTCATTTTTTATTTTGTTTCCCTTGCCCAAGGAGATAACGTTCAGGAAAAAGTTGCTCATGTTTATTTTCAAGAGATTTTGCCTATGTTTTCTTCTAAGAAATTTATGGTTTAATGACTTACATTCATGTCTTTGATCCATTTCGAGTTTACTTTGGTGTGTGGAGTTAGACAGTAATTCAGTTTCATTCTCTTTACATGTAGTTGTCCAGTTTTGCCAACACCAGTTGTTGAAGAGGCTTTCCTTTCTCCATTGTATATTCATGGGTCCTTTATCCTATATTAATTGACCATATATATGTGGGTTTATATCTGGGCTCTCTATTGTGTTCTTGTGCCAGTACCAAACTGTTTTGATTACTGAAGCTTTGTAGTAGAACTTGAAGTCAGGGAGTGTAATCCCCCCAGCTTTGTTCTTTCTCAGGATTGCTTTGGCTAGTCAGGGTCTTTTGTGGTTCCATATTAATTTAAGAACTGTTTGTTCTAGTAAATTGAAGAATGCTGTTGGTCTTTTTATAGGGTTTGCATTGAATCTGTAGATTGCTTTAGGCAGGATGGCCATTTTGACAATATTAATTCTTCTTATCCATGAGCATGAGATAGGCTTCCCAGGTGAACATTTAATAAATCCAATCATGTCACTTTTCCTAAAACCCCTTGCTGTATCTCTGTCACCCTCACCATAAAATCCCAAAATTCAAACTCCTTTGATACTTACAGGTAAGATTCTTAATACTCCTCCGGTCTTCATATCTGTGCTCCCACCCTCACCCCCAACATTCTTTGTATACCAGCCATAGTGAATTTCTTTTAATCTGTTGAAGGCACCACCGTCTCCCATCCATTCTCTCATATTGGTGCCAAGGCCTTTAACACCCTCCCCTCCCCTCACAACCAAGCTAACTTCTATTCATCTGTCAGGCCTCAGCCTAGACTTGCTTTCCTCTTGAAAATCTTCCTGACTACCCCTAGGCCAGTGTAGGTGTTTCTGCCATGTGGTCTATAACACTCTGTACTTCCTTCCCCACACTGTGTTGTGCTGGTTTGTTTGATCATTTGTACCCACTTGTAAGTTCTTGGTGTATTCCCAGAGCCTGGGGCATAGCCTAGCTCTTGGAAGGGAGGCAGTATTGTGTAGTGATCAACAGCATGTTTTTTTGATGCTGGGCAGTTCTGTGTTTGAATTCTGACCCAGCCACTAGCAATTCAAACTCTGGAAACGTTTCTTAATTTCTGAACTTTAGTAAGCTGGGAATGATAATGACACCTGTCATGTAAGGGTTGTTAAAGGAGTACACTTATGCAAAGAGCCTCAGAGTGCATGCCTGGTAAGTGTTAGCCACTGGCATTGATGCCATTATTATGGTTACAGGCACTCCATAAATGTTTGTTTAGTGAATAAAGAGAGTTATATCAAGGAAGCAATTGGAAGGTCTCTTTCAAACTGAGGGAGTTAGTCAACACAGTCTTCAGGTGTAGAGAGCTCAGGGTTCTAGAAATGCACACTGGATTTGGCCCTAGGACTTCACTGGTATCCTGAGTGTGAGTGGTTCCCATTGAATGGAAGTCATTTCATTGGGGGCTGAGGAGTGGATGGGAGGTGAGGAAATGAAATAGTCACGTGGCCTTCTCTCACAGGAGAGTCACTGCGATGTTGGGTAGACATTTGAGAGTTCAGCAGGCTTTTCCACTGAGGGGATTTTTGTCAGGTGAGGAGGAGGAGTTGAAGATGCAAGAGTTGGGGAGGACCTGAGCTGGAGGTGAAGGGGTGCATTTAGCTGGGACTTGGGTGCACCCAGTTGGAATGGAAGGAAGGTGGGTGCCCATGCAATTGTGTTTGGGGGTGGGCTGCAAGGTCAGCGTTTCTGCCCATGGGTGACCTGTTTCCTTTGAGGTTGGAGATGAGATTGCTCAGCATGAAGGCCAAGCGCACTAAGGTTCCAGTGGAGCCTGGAAGCCCTGAATGTACAGTGGCCTCCATCAGCACAGCTGTGATTTCTTTCAGCAGTGATTGGGAGGAAAGACTGGGGCCAAAGGGATGGATAATAGGCACTAGTAACTGAAATGGTGATCTTAGTTGGCAAAGAGGCAAACCAGAGGGACCAACATATTGGCAGAAGGTACAGGGGCCAAGGGCTTGGTGACTAGAATGAGATCAGAGAACTGTGACTCCACACTCCCTGGACATCTTCCACACACTACTCAGAGCCAAGGCTGCCCAGTTCTGTGCCCCCCTGTAACTCTTCTGGCTCTACTGGTCTAGTTCGCTCCCAGGACCCTGGACAGCGGCGGGTGCTGGACCGGGCAGCCCGGCAGCGTCGCATCAACAGGCAGCTTGAGGCCTTGGAGAATGACAACTTCCAGGACGATCCCCATGCAGGACTCCCACAGCTTGGCAAAAGGCTGCCTCAGTTTGATGATGATGCAGACACTGGTGAGGCGGGTGGAGGAGAAAGGGAGGACCAGGGTGGGGAGGCAAGAGTGAAGGAAAGGGGGAGGAGCCGCCCAGGTCAGGGTTGTAGCAGGACGTCAGGCTGGGGTACAAACAACCCAGGAGTTCTCTGCTCTTCCAGGAACTGGCTCCTGTGACTGTGAGCCAACCACTCTCCCCATTCTGTGCCTGTTGCCTCTCGTGTATGTAGACAAAATAAGATGGAATAAGTGAGCTCTGAGATCCCTTCCAGCTCAGAGACAAAGCCTTAGACTTAGGGTGTGTATGGAGATGAATGTAGGGTCACATCGGAGGGCAGGGAGGGAAAATGATGGTGGAGGGAAGCAGACTTAGAATCCACGTGAGTATGTGGGCAGGGAATGGGTATGTGGGTATTGGGAATAAGGGAAAGATGGTGTCTTTCTTGGTGTGCCAAGTAACTGATTGCTCTTTATCTCTAGGCAAGAAAAAGAAGAAAACCCGTGGTGATCATTTTAAACTTCGCTTTCGAAAAAATTTTCAGGCCTTGCTGGAGGAGCAGGTGAGAGGGGAGCTGGCCTAGGACGGCCCAACAGGGACAGGAGAACCCACAGAGATCCTTGCCCCTGGTGGGTGTTTGCTACGTGGGTGAACAGAGGAGTTGTGGAGCCTGGCCTGTGTCTCTGCAGAACCTGAGTGTGGCCGAGGGACCCAACTACCTGACAGCCTGTGCGGGACCCCCGTCCCGGCCCCAGCGCCCTTTCTGTGCTGTCTGTGGCTTCCCCTCCCCCTATACCTGCGTCAGCTGTGGTGCCCGGTACTGCACTGTTCGCTGTCTTGGCACGCACCAGGAGACCAGGTGAGCTTGGAACTGCCCCTGGGGCCACATGCTCTTCCTCCTACCCCCACAGCCTCCCGGACCCTCTCCTTGTCCTGGACCGCTTCTACCTGCAGGTGCCTGAAGTGGACTGTGTGAGCCTGGGCATCCCCGGAGAGGAAGGCCCTCCGTGCATCACTCCAGCCTCAGAGAGGTCATCACCAAAACACGAGGCACTCCTCTGGACAGACAGGGCCATTCGCTTGCCCAACAAAGCTGTGTCTTACCTACCAAGGAAGACCGGTCTCAGCTCCAGGGACTGTGTGGCGGGGAAGTGGGCCAGGCCTGCAGAGTGCTGTTGTAATAAAAGATCTCATGCGAGGAGGAGAGTTTGGGCTGCCTGTTTGATCACGTGGTGTTTTCACGGGTAAGGGTGAGGGCAGTGGGTCTCCTGTTTCTCCGACTCGCTGCTCTGTGTCGTTCTTCTTGCCAAACACCCCTCCACTGTCTGCCCCTCTGGGTCCGTGACCATGAAAGATTGGGCCCCATTCTCCTGCCACTCCCATGCCTCTGTGTTTCTTGGCTGCTGCTTCATGGTGTTTTTTGGTTATAATTTAGTGTTTGCTGTTGCTTTTTGTTTCTCTAGTTCCTCTAAGTATCTTTTGAGTACAGGCAGGTCTGGGTGACAGGGAAATGGAGTGAGGGGTGCAGAATGATACAGAGAGCCTCTCTCTCTCTCCTCTGGTACTTAACCAGAATGGGAGAGGTCAGCCCTTGTCCTTGGTGCCACCAGTCAGAGGGGGCGCTTGGTACTGGGGGATTCTGTGTGTGTAATTATTAGCAGCAGAGAAAACCCAGAAGTTTTGGGGAAGCCTGGGGAAAATTCATGTAGAGGCACCTGTTTTTCTTGGCCCTGGATGCTGTAACCTTTGTGTGGTACTGGAACTCCTCATACCCATGTGTGGGTTATTAAGCGAATTATGAGCTATATGAGCTCATAAGTCTCTTGGAGTTGTTGTCTTTAGACCTGGTAACCATTGGCCAGAAAGCAAAGCAGGTGCTTTGGAAGTATTTGTTAACCAGGTGACCTCAATAGGATATTGACATCTGGCAAAGTCAGAGTTAGGCCCTTCTTCCCACTTGTGGGAACTTCTTTGGGGCTGGTCAGTGTTCCTGGTGTCTTCCTGAGGAACTGCCTGCCCCTTCTCTGGAGACTAGTGGTGGGGCCAGTGGTGCTGGTGACGGCTGAGTGATAGTGAGAACATGGTTTAGAGACAATCTTACGTGTGGTGGTTTCAAAAGATGGCTGTAAAGTTTTGGCTATCCTTGCATCAAAAGGTGGGGTCTTTGACCCCTTTCCCCTGGGATCTGGGCAGGCTTAGGACTGCTTCAACCAGTAGAGGGGGGGCTGAAGTAAGACCATGTGACATTCAAAAGGCAGTGCAGCTCCTGCCTTGTCCCTAGGACACTTGCTTTTGGATCTCAGCTACTGTGTAAGAAACCCAACCATTCTGAACGTCACCAGGCTCTAGGGAAGCCCAGGCTACATGTGCAGGTGCTCATATGTTGACAGGCCCTGCTGAGCCACGCCTTCAAGCCACCCCAGCCCAGGCTTTCTTAATGGGAGGCCATGTCCAGATGATCCCAGCCCCCAGGCAACAGGTCACCCTAGCCACTTGAGTCTTCTCAGCTGTGACCTCAGTATCATGAGCAGACACAAACTGTCTTGGGTGCCCTGCCTAAATTCTTGATGTATAGTGTCTGTGTTTATAACAAATGGCTTGGGATGGTTACACAGCACAGCAATAGTAACTGGGACACCAAGAACCCACTTTTCTGGCAGCTGACTCCTGGCCCAGGTCTGTATTGTCTCTCTCCTAGAAAGGGAAACTTTCCTGGGTCCTCACCTCTTTATTGCCCTTTCCACCAAGAAGTACACTCGAGAAAGAAAATAGAAGAAAAGACTGTTTCTTGCCTGAGAAATACCATCTGTTCTTTTCTGTGATCACCTGCTTCAGAATTTGTCGGATTTCCAGTCGGGTTTATTTTCTGCACCAGACCTAGTTGATGCAACATAATTTAAAAGCTTCTCAATTTTTGATATCCATATTCAGGCCCAGATAAGGAAACTGTGCTCTAGACCAAGTGTCTCCTTGCACAACTGTGAGAAAGGTGGAGAATAGAGTGACTTTTTAAATCTCCAGCTGCCTGGAAGGATCTCTCTGCTCTTTTCAGTTTCCTAGAGTTGGATCTCCCCACATCTGCTCCTTGACGACTCTTATCAATAATTATGAATGCCACTCTTGAAACCACTTGCGACCCCTCCTCCCTTTTGCTGGATGAGACAGTCCAACGGCAATGGAGAGGGGCAGGTGACAGCCTGGGGTCCAAGACCTGAGATGACCTTGGGAGCTGCCCCAGCACCCCTTGCTTGGCCAGTGGCTACATGACACCCTCAACCCCTGAACAGTTCACAGTACAAATATATTTATGCATCCGTTTAGAATACAAACACACAGGCAAGTCCCTGCTCTGCCCGCTCAGCCGCTTAGAGCCCAGAAAACAAAGAGGGATCAGCCTCAGGAGTCCCAGGGAAGTCCTCAGTAGGCAGGTTATTGGACAGACGAAGCAGGCGTGACCAAGGCGGGGCTCCGACCGGGGAGGCGTGGCCTGAGGTGCAGTTAGCTAGGCGTGGCTTGCAGGGGCAGGCACCAGCAGCCCGGGGCTGGGGGATCCTTCTCTACTGGGGGCAGTGGGAAGGGAATGGGGTCCACAGGCGTCTTATACGTAAGCGTTTTTCCCGTACTTTCCAAAGCTGCTGTCGCCTTCCTCATCTGAAGACGCGGGGTGCAGGCGGGCAGGGAAGCCGGCGGACGGCAGGGCTGCTTTGTAGGGAAGACCGGCACTATAGCGAGAGGGGCTGGGTCAGGGGGGTGCGCACTCGCCTCCCACCTCCACTTCCCCCGCCACTCGCCCGCCCGTACCTGGCGGTAGGGTTCCCGTCGCGAGCGCTACGGCAGTTGGAGCAGAGGCAGATGCCGCCCAGGATGGCGAGCAGGGAGGCGCTCCAGCCCAAGTAGAGGGAGGGGCCCAGCTCGTACCTGGGAACAAGGACGGCGCGCGGCGGCGCTAGCTGCGGGGACAGGGCCGAGTCCCACCCACTGCCCTCGAGGGTGGGGCTCCCACACTCACTTGGTTCCGGGATACAAGGGGTCGAAGAAGTCCCGGGTGATGTTGAAGGCGTACCAGGAGATGGCCACCATCCCGCAGACACCTGGAGAGAGAGGAAGGACGGAACTGGTGCCCTCTGCGGCTCGGGGAGGAAGTGAATTCCGGGGCAGGGGCGGCCCAGAGGGCAGGACGGGGGGCATAGAGTTCAGCAAATGCATTCCCTGCCTTTCTTTTTTTCCCCTTCCCCGGCTAATGAGCCTTCTGTTTCCTGGGGTCAACTTCCTCATCCAGCACCCAAGACCCAGCTGCAGCCCAGCTTTCTTGTCCAGGCCCCCACATTCTGCTCCTCAGTCCGCCATTGCTCCCTTTATCCCCACCTGCCTTCTTCATACCTACTCCTGGCGCGTGGATCACAAGGTTTCCTCACTTGAAATCTGCCCCATCCAAATCCTACCCATCCTTCAAAGTCCAGGCAGCCTCCCCCGACTAGCCCTGGCACCCCTTTCCTTTGTCCTCCCCAATCCCATGGCACAGAGCCTGTGCCATGCCTTAGCCACTCAGTGCAGCGAAGGCCTGAAGCCGGCGAGGCCCCTGGACTACAGGACCAGCCTTAGCACCCTCTGGGTGGCTCCTCCAGGGAATCATCTGACCTTTCTGAGCCTGTTTCCAGATCTGGAGAACAGGACAACACCCACCCTGCTTTGAGGCTTGTGAGGTGATGTGTGCAGGTGTGTGTTATAAACTGAAAGGGGGTGGCCAGTTGTATGGTATTGTTCAGTGTGTGTGTGTGATGTGTGCAGATGTGTGTTATAAACTGAAAGGGGGTGGCCAGTTGTATAGTACTGTTCTTCAAGTTCAGTGTGTGTGTATGTGTGTGTGTGTGTACACGAATGTCTGGTCTTCCTAGCCAGGCAGGTGTGTGTGTGTGTGCGCGAATGTCTGGTCTTCCTAGCCAGGCAGGTGTGTGTGTGTGTGAATGTCTGGTCTTCCTAGCCAGGCAGGTGTGTGTGTGTGTGTGTGTGTGTGTGTGTGTGTGTGTGAATGTCTGGTCTTCCTAGCCAGGCAGGTGTGTGTGTGTGTGTGTGTGTGTGTGTGTGTGTGTGTACGAATGTCTGGTCTTCCTAGCCAGGCTGTAAGCCTGGGAGGGCGGGCATTTACCACTGGAGTCCCTCCCACACCTCGCTCATGCCTGGCTCCTAGTGGGGGCTTTGAGGCTTGTGAGGTGATGTGTGCAGATGTGTGTTATGAACTGAAAGGGGGTGGCCAGTTGTATGGT